TCCACTGTCTCAAAACATGCCAATCAACCTAAGGCCCTATAAGTGTTCCGAGAGTGACCAAAAAGTCATTGACGAACAAATTGAAATGTTAATTAAACATAATTTAGTTATACCTAGTGTCAGTCCCTATGCCTTCCCAATAACTTTAGCCGATAAAAAAGATGAAGGTAAGCGGTGTCGACTATGCGTTGACTACCGAAAATTAAATCAAATAACTATTGCTGATAATTACCCATTCCCGCTATTTACTGACATCATAGATAGCCTCTATGACTGTCAATTCTTTACCACATTAGATGTGACCTCAGGTTACTGGCATGTAAAGGTCTGTCCAAATGATAGACCAAAGACAGCAATGATCTCAAAGTCAGATCATGTCGAATGGTCAGTAATGCCTTTCGGATACCGAAACAGTCCGGCAATATTTCAGAGAGCCGTACAAAACATTTTAAAAACAAATCATTTACAAAATTTTGCGAAAAACTACTTGGATGACATATTGATATTCAGTAAAACATTTGAGGATCACCTCAAAGATATTGAAAAAGTACTGAGTGCACTCAAAAGAGAGACAATAAAACTGAAGCTATCGAAGTGTCACTTCGGTCGACAATCAGTAACATTTTTAGGACATAAGATATCAGTTAATAAGTATTATCCATTAAATGATAATACTATAGCCATTCGGGACTTCCCAAAACCTAAGTCAGTCAAAGACATACAAAAGTTTTTGGGAAAAGTAAATTTTTATTTTAAGTTCATCCCGAATGCATACCGATCACTTGAACCACTTTATAATCTTTTGAAAAAACACAAACAATTTGAATGGAATGATAAATGTGATATTGCATTTAATCAAATAAAAACTTATTTGGTATCACAACCTGTTCTTAGCATATATAATCCTAAAAGCGATTGCATACTCTATGTAGACGCTTGTAAATTAGGTGTCGGTGCCGTATTTAAGCAGAAACAATCTGACGGACACTTACACCCGATCGCATACTTTTCAAAAAAATTGTTGTCTTACCAATACAATTATGATATTACCGAACTTGAATGTTTAGCCGTTATATTATCAGTCGAATACTGGCACCATTATCTCTATAATAAAAAGGTAACTATCTATTCGGATCATAACCCGTTAAAGTGGTTGAAAAACGTGAAAAAACCTAATTCACGGCTTTACAACTGGTCTGTCAGACTCAGTCAGTATGACATAACTATAGAGTATATCCCTGGCTCTCAAAATATTGAAGCCGACACTTTGAGTCGACACCCAGTACTTGAAGGTACTAATAGTGATCCGACTCTAAAGTTTGTTAACTTATTAAATATCTCTGAGATAAAAGACAAACAAAAAGAGTTTCATAATTGTCTACCTAAACAATCCTATTTAGAAAATGACTTAATTTACAAAACTAAAAATGATTTGAAAAAACTCTATGTACCTCCAGAGTTAATTAACAAATTGTTAACTAAATGTCATTTAGATTACGGACACATCGGTTACCGAAAAATGTTAAGCCTCTTAACTAATGCTTACTTTTTTGATGACATGTGTCAAAAAGTACAGAATTTTATAATTAATTGTAAAGTTTGTCAAACTAATAAATTAAGTAGATCTCAAAAGTACGGTAGCCTATCACAGATAGGTCCCGCTAAAACACCTTTTGATATAATAGCTATCGATACTAAAGGAGGCCTCAGTGGTTATAACTCGAAAAAACAGTACATACATGTTGCTGTTGACCACTTCTCCAGATATCTCTGGACTTTGGCATCGAGTACACAGAGTGCCAAAGACTTTATTAATTTAATTCAATGTATTCAGAAAACTAATAAACCTAAAATGATATTAGCTGACAGGTACACCGGTATTAAGTCAACTGAATTTAAACATTTTTTAGCTAAAAATGACATAAAAATTATGTTTATAACTACTGGTTGTCCTCAAAGCAATGGACTATGCGAAAGACTTGTTCAAACCCTAACTACGCGCTTGCGATGCAAATTTAATGACAACAACCAGTCGGCTAATTGGCCAAAATTGTTAACTAAAGTTACTGATGAGTATAACAATTCACCACATAGTGTTACTAAATATACTCCAAAATATTTAATGTTCGGTATTAAACCTTTCAATAGTTATAATGCCTTAAATAATCTCGAGAAGAATAGAGAGATGGCCTTTGAAAACAGTTCCCGTCATCATAACTATAATAAATCATATTATGATGACAAACATAAACCAATTAGTTATAGTCCTGGAGATCAGGTCTATATAGAAAACAAAAATAGCATCAGTCGAGGCAAACTCGAACCACTGATGACCGGACCCTATATTATTATTAAAAAATTATCTGATGTCTCATATGAGATTAAATGTGACAAAAAAGGTTACAAAACAGATGTATTTCATGTCTCAAAACTGAAACCCTATAACCCTAAGGTATAGCTTAAAATGGGGGGATGTAAGACATGAGAGATATATTTAATCAAAATAATATATAGTTATATGTTTTACTTAAAAAACATTTCCCACACATATATAATCTTTGTTTATAAGATGTGTTGTCCACTATAGTGACAACTGTCTTTAATTAATGTTTAAGTGTATTACTCTATGTTAACTAATGTTTTACTCTCTATTTATGTTTATTTATCTTTTAAAAAATATAACTTAAAGTAATAAAACAAATACTTCCCGGGTAGGGATTTTTACCAAATTTGATTTCAAAGTAGTTTAACTATAAACAAACCATAATTAATGGGTACAAACTTTGTACCACTAAACACAGATAAGTTACAGACCTCCAAACATGTCCCCACTATTGCAGCAATACTTAGTCCTCCAATGGAGGACTACTGCAAAAATGAATCTGACTTATGATTGGTAAGTACCGGAGCCATGGACCTCAACAGTATGCAGTATAAAAGCAACTGTCAATGAGATCCCCCATATGTGGGATACAGGATCAAGTATTAAGAGATCCACTCATTTTATGTATTTTCTATGTTTATTATATTAATAATTAATAATTGTATTTTAATATAACATATGATAATCAAATAAAGTTTTTTATATTTAATCGAATTAAACTGTGTCACAATTTATTTACCATCATCGACATCACTAACTTCAAGACTAGTTATCAACTCAACGACTGCAACATAAACAATATTATATAATAATAATTAATAAATAACTGCTAGTCTTATATATATTAGTAGTAAAAGTAATGACACTTACAGTACATATTATGCTTATATCAAACATATTGCTGTATTTACCAAAATATTATTAGTTTTTAGTATAATAAAAATAAATCTAAAAATTTATTAATTTAATAGATAGATAATGTTTCACAATATAAAATTAACTAAAGCTATAATTATCTTACGGTTTATTTATTTAGATTTTATTATAAATGATAACTTTGAAGCAATATTATGTTGTAAAAATTAAATCTAAATAAATATAAAATTAAAATATAACACAATAATATTTTATTATATTTGAATATATTTTAATTTCAATAATATAACCTAATTATACTGTAATAACTACTATAGTTATACTGTAGTTTTTTCATCATTAGTGAAAGTGCAACAAATTAAAGTAAGTCCTAAACTCAAGGATAAGTTATGTCCAAAGTTTCAATTATTAAGAAAATACTATTAACTCTAATACTGTAATAATATATATATTTATTTAATACTGTCATCAATTGATTGGTTTTATTTAAAAACAAAAATTTATGATAATTTATAATATTGATAATTTTCAAAATATAAAAAAACATTTTTTATATCATGTTTATGGTAAATATAATATGATATACAATTATACGATACAATCATCATAATTATCAATAATATATACTGTAATACATAAATAAGTGTCAAATACAGTAGAAAAGTCTATATTTGATATGAAAATACTAATGAAACGATTGCCGATTAATTCAATTTTATTTATTTATTTATCTATAATTTATTTATTCAATGATATAAAAATTACTATAAATAAAATTGTTAATAACGTCTTTAATAATACATTTTTAATTGTCATGAGATAATTATTTTTTTTAAAACATAAATAAAAAGCGTTTAGTTTATCAAATAGTTTACAGTTAAGTAAGCCTACAGTTAACTGAAAGATAAATTTTAGTCATCAAAGTCTAAGTAAAAGATAACTTTAAGACATTAAGAGATGGGTTTCGATATATTACTGATTGCTACTAATGCTAATGGTATGACTATACCTCCCACTGCTAAGTGCTGTATATGCGATGGTCTACTGGACGATGGCGTAGGTCTCTCGGGTTGTGATCACAATGCGTGCTATAAATGCATGAAAAAGGCGGTTGACTTAGGAAGCAAATGTCCTGTCGATAACCAACCGTTTGATGTCAAGAAGTATTACCACTTGAATGATGAGATTGAAAGTTGGCTCTCAAGAGTCAAACTAAAGTGTCAGTGGTTTGATGGACGCGTTTGTACGGCAACTGCCATCTCTATACGTAATGCTCACAGACATCGGGATATTTGTCCAAATAATCCAAAGAATAAGCTGAGCAAAGAGCAGATTAATACTGTAAAACTTGTCAGTAATTGGATGCAAAACAAAGAGTTCAACAATGACTCCGCCGACAARTCAGACGATGGTTCAGATTCTGGCGATGACTTCGATGGTCCTTCAAATGGTTCCCATTACGAGACACACACCAGTCGACCGACGGCCAGATCTGGATTTGGATACAAACCAATCAAAAGAAGTATTGGGCGCCGATTCTTCTCTCATGAGACCACATCTGATATCGATCCCAATTGGAGACAATGAATGACACTTAAACTAGGCTTACATTTGATCTCAATTTGTTTGTATTTCATTATTTATTCATCAAAATCATCACTATTTTAATTATCATTAAATTGTTTTTAAATTTATACAATTTGTTATAAAGTTTTGTTTTAAGTTATTTATAAGAGTTATTAATAATTATTGAAATCATTGAACAAATATTTACAAAAAATAATAAATTAATGAGTAAATTGAATTAACATTCAAATCATTGATTTGGGATCCGATGGTATCGATTGACATTCATTTGTGTCCATTTGTTGTTCACAATTGTTATCATCGATTAAAACACGGGAATCGATTGTCTTCATATCGATGAAGTCGGTTATGGCATCAATTGGATCTATTTTTGTGGATACTTCAAGAGCCATGAGTGCCGATTCAACTGTCATTAATCAGATGGATATCAAATAAATAATATAAAAGAGATCCACAAATGTTTAAATGACTTACTCTTTAGTTTGTCAATCGTGTCGTGCAATGACTGCGTCTGACTCAGCATTTCTTGTAATTGATGACAAAATTGTGTCATTTGTTGATCACTGTTGTTGTTGTTGTTGTCGAGTGAAGACATGATGTGAACAAAGTGTGACCACTTGTGGTACGTGTTGTCAGTGAAGTCAGTCTTAACCACAATTGGCGCTCATTTTGTGTTTAATATATAAATTATAACTCAAAACAACAAAACACTCCAAACATTGAGTGACTCTTATGTTATGCAATGCTATGACTGTTGTTGTCATCACATGTTTGACAACACTTTGACTGACAGTTATAATCATATCATTGTATGCTTTGATTAAGACATCCACTGATTAAGACATTCACTGATTTTTTGATGATAATGTCGTCACTATTTGATCACATAAAACAACTACATTTGGACCAATTGTTTACAAATTTGGTTCAATTGGTATGTCATGTGAATTGATTTTTACATTAATTTTATTTTCTTCATTATATGATATCTAAAGACTTGATTGCTTTCTTATTTTATAACCAAATGTCTTAAAACAGATGAATATATTGATGCCACAAATAGAGACAAGTAGTGAACTGTTTTCGGCGTCCAATGAATACAAGGCTCTTGTCTTTTACGGTGAGGCTCTTTACCGGACAAAAGATTACCGAAAATCAGAGGTATTGGTCTTTAAGTCTTGTAGATCTTAAGTCTTAAGATTGTAGTATTTATCATATGATATGATATTTAACTGAAATTCAATACATTTTAATAGCGAGTATATCAAAGAGCTCTTTCATTGAAGAAGAATACACCTAAAAGTAAGCGCAAGAGTCAGTCTAACGGTTCAAGTGATATGAGTTCAGAGATTGACGTCAAATATCAGATCCATTTGTGTTATCTTAAGCAACACCAATACATAAGTGCTGTAAACATTTTGGAGAGTATTCCTCCAAAGCAGGTCTGCTCTGAGAAATATCTTTGATTAATAAATTAATATTAATATGAATTTCAATTAACAGCGAAATTCACGGATTAATATGGCTTTGGGTGAACTCTATCGGTTAGACAAGAATCCGATTGCAATAAACTGTTTCAAAGAAGTGGTCAAAGAGTCACCTTTTGCTTTAACAGCTATTCTTCATTTAATTAAATTAGATGTCAAAGTAAATGAAATCTTAAGTTTAGTGAATTCAATTGCTGCCACCATTCCGATGATGAGTTGGCTCAATACATGGATTCGGGCGCACTCTTACATTAATTCACGTGAAATTTCAAGTGCTATCCCTTTATTGAGACAATTATACGAAAGTCCACAATTCAAAGGAAACTTAGAAGTCATGTTATCATTAGGAGAGGCTTATTATTATAACGGAGATTACAAGAAAGCCATCTACTTGTTTAAGAAGGCTTTTTCAATAGATCATACACTTCTAAGATGTATTGATTTATATGCTTCTGTTTTGGCTAAAGAGAACCAATTAAAAGAATTGGAATTACTGGCCAACCAAATGACCCAAAGATGTGATTCATTGGAATCGGTGGCCGAGCCATGGGTTGTCCTCTCTTACTATTGTTTTCTCTCGAATAAGAAGGACTCGAAAGCTTACTTCTTTGCTCAGAAAGTAATTAATTATTGATCGCATTTACAAATCAATTATTTTTAATAAATTAATTTTTGATGTTATAGGCGTGTACTTTAAGCAATAACTCTGTCGAAGCATTATTACTGAAAGGTTTAATTTTATTGGATAATAAGCCACAAGAAGCCAAAAATTGTTTTCTTGAAGCTCATACCAGTGCTCCTCACAGGTTTGAACCAATTAAATGCTTAACTGAAGCCTATTTAGCCGAAAAACAGAAATCGTTAGCAAACAATATGGCTACTGGTGCTATCAAAACATTTGGTCACATACCTAAAAGTTTAACTGTAAGTTTGTCTACAAATTGACTGCAACTTATGTGAGATAATACAATACGATACATATACAGGTAATAAAAGTTGTTTTATTTATTTGAACAGCTAATGGCAACAGTCTATTTGACCGAATCGTCGAGTCAAGAAAAATTAAAGGCCAAACAATTACTGGAAAAGGCCATCAAACAGGACCMGACATATTTGAATGCAATTTATTTGTTGGCAAATATATATTTAGAGGAAAAAAATTTTGATAAAGCAATCGATATGTAATTAAATATAATTGTGTACTTAAAGTAAAGTTATAGTTATTAACTGTTGATATCGTTTTTAGGCTCAACAAGACATTAGAAAGTTGTGAAAGTAATATAAAGATTCATAAATTGCTCAGTGATTGCTATATAGAGAAGAATGAACCGGAAAAGGCGTCACACCATCGAAGCATTGTTTCCAAGTATGACTTCAATGACCATAAGTACGATGACATGAATTGATCGATAATGTCATTGAAATTTTTTTATAGGTTAGAGCAAAATAAYCGCAATTCCAATGAAACGTCTCAACGATTAGAACATCAGTCACATACCGGCGATAACGTTAGTTCCACATTGGATCTCGAGGTCGATGACATACCACCATCTGATGAGGACATCGATGAAAGCGAGACTGATGTTGTCTGGTCTGACGATAACTATAGTGTTAATTAAAATCAATTTTTTGATTAAACATTTATTTTAAAAATCACGATTTTTATACACATATAAATCATTTCTTAAAAATTGTATATAATGTTAAAATATTTAAATACAGTAGTATTGATAAAAAATACATTTTAAATAAAACAATCATAAAATATAATCTACTTATAGTAGATCTGATGAATTTAGTGATAAAATCTGGTCATTCCTTAAAATATTGAACAACTTGTGGAATGGTTTGTATTTATTAAGTGTTGATTTGTTTCCAATGATAACCAACTTTTTTTTCGCTCGAGTTATGGCTACATTAAGACGTCTCTCATCATTAAGTATCTCATTATTTCCTACACTTTCATTAGTATTGCTTTTAACACATGAATATATAATGACATCTTTGTCTCGACCCTGAAATTGATCCACAGTATTAACTTCAAGACCATCTAAAGTGATGGTATCTCTTAAAAAGCCAACTTGTTTTTGATAGGGACTGATTACACCAATTTGTTGAGTAGTTATCACAAAATATTTAAGCAAATTCTTAACAATAATTTTAATGATTTTCGACTCAATCTCATTGAAAACTTTTCCTTTTTGGTCTCGTATTTCAGGAGCAGATATTAAATCGGTTTCAATGAAAATAACCGAATTTGACAAATCGTTTTGAATGACTTTTGTTATCCAATTGTTTTGTACTAAATATGTTAAATCTGACGATACAAGTGTTTGATTACAGACATCAAGTGTTGCACACATAAGAACTCCATTATAAGTCAATTCATTGCTTAATCGCATTATTTCTGAGTTCATTCTGTACTGAATTGTCAGATCCCTAGTGTTGGTCTCGTTTTGCAACAAAACAAACAAACTCTGGTCTAAACCCAATTGTTTTGCCTTTTCGTTTTGAACAACGGGTGGTAATTGTCTGCTATCACCCACTAATAAAAAACGATTGCAATAAAACAATGGACCCAAACATGCGGGCAAAAGCACTTGTGAGGCTTCGTCAACAATACAATAATCAAAAACTTTTCGTTTAAATAATGGATGACTGGACACACCATAACAAGTTGTGGCCACCACTTGAGTACTCGAGTAAAACGATAACAATTGTTCAAGAGTTTTAAAACTTGATGTTTTCGACGCATTCGTATAAGAAAGTAATTCCGGGTTAACACGCTTTTCGGATCCAATGCGAAGAAAGTCTATCTTATATTCTTTAAGTTTTAATAATATATTGTCGACTGCAGAGTGTGTATAACTTGTTATGATGACTGACTGTTCCAAAGCTACCAATAATCTTATCAAAGCAACTATTGTTTGAGTTTTGCCGGCGCCGGGCATTCCTTGAATTAATATATAGGAATCAGTGGACAGTGCGCTCAAAATAGCTCGTTGTTGGTTACGATTGAGAACTTTCAGAATATGTTTTCCTTTTGTAATAATTTGTTTCTTGAATTTCTGTACAAAAGTAACAGATTTTTTATGGATCACTATTTGGCGCAACTTCTTTGACTGATCGTCATCCGAGTCCATTAAACGCAATATATTAGTAAAATTATGTGAAATAAGTCCAGTGTTTGAAATGTGATCGATTCGATACAATCTATTAGACAATAAATTTCCACTTTTATCTGAAATGACTTCAATTTCATGTCTATCGACTCGTTTAATAAAACCTATTAAAAGAGCGATTTTGTTTATTCGATACATTTCCGGTACTTTTATATTGATATCGTCTATACTAATGGCCACTCGTTCCCAACGCCGCATAACATTATCGGTTAAATTAAAATCATTGCAATCATCCAAATACTTATCACATCTCACAAAAACAATCGAATCGTTTGTTTGTCTTAAAATCTTAAGTTTCCCAAAACCTAAACCTTTGGCTTCTCTATCGGTCGACAATTCAGTCCAAAATCCAACCTTAGAATCGCTGTCCCGATCTATCACTTCTTTGAGCTCCATATTTAATAATGTCATCCATTTCTTAAAAAATTCTAAATCAAGTGCTGATAAATGAGAAATGATTTGAGGAATGAGCTGTTCAGACATTGAAGTTGAATGTGACAAATGATGCGATTCAAGAGTTTGTAAAGTAAGGCAACAGTCCATTAAATGATCACATTTACTGCAAATACGATATGAGTTCAAAGGTTCGGGACCTGACTCTACATTTGTCAAGTGTTTCACTAAATTGTTTCGCATCTGAAATAAGTCTCTCTTAACGACTCTTTTTGTAATAATTTGACGCATTTGTGGCTTATCTTTGAGGTAAAGAAGCAATCCTTCATTTGAATGAGTTTTGTCCCTCTCGTCTAACATTACCGAATAGAGACCAATCTGTCCGATGTGTTCGTCAGAAAAAGAAGGCTTTCCTGTCTTCAGTTCCAAAGGCATCGTAAATGATGTCTGAATATTATTGTCATTAACCGCTACTTTCACTGTTAAGTCAACAATACCTTTGAGACCTAATTTAGTGCTCCAAACGCTGTCTTCAATGTCTAAAACTTTCATAATTTGAATTTTCTTTTCATTTTTATTTGAATAATTCATATCTTCAACGACAGACATGTTATACATATATTTATCAATCCATTGAACAATTGATGTCAAATATGGTGTTACTTCTTGAATGGCTTCGTCTTTTGTCATAACAATGGCATATAAATCGGTAATAAAATTGTCAACAATTGACATAAAAAGAGCACGAATTTCATCAACAGTTCGTAGTCTTTGTTGACACGACTCCTGAAACAATTGGTGAACCATAACTCCGATTATCATTGATCGGTTGGCGTGAGTCCAGCCGACAAACTTCGCCGAAAGCCATGCTTTGCGGACACAATATTTGGCGGACATTAATGTCGTACTTGATATCAATAAATCGGGATTTTTGACAACAAATCCATTGGTATTGTCGACAATCATAGTGCAAGTATTGTTATCATATTTGGTATCCAAGACATGGATTATTTCGTTGACTTCGACATCACATGAAAACCAAATTCCAGTTAAAAGACAATTCACGTCTTCATTAGCCGATTGTTCACATTTAGAGACGGGTCTTAATTTAAGACGTAATTCATATTTTTGATCATCTCTTAACTGATCCAAAACAATGAAACGATAGGACAACTTGGATGCCATCAGATGTTAATCTTGGGATCAATTGATGCAAACATTACATCACTTTATATCACAAATAGCGCCAAACAATAGCAAAACATTTGATATTATAATCACAAATAGCGTTACGTTTACTATAATTGATATCAACTTTGAATACAAAATATTTGTTTTAATTATTTGTAATGAATTAAAAAATTTTAATTAAATTTCTAATATATTTATAATTAATTGTCGTTTTTAATAATTAATTGTTAATAATAAGTAAATATTTATATTTATAATCATATGATATGTTTAAAATTGATAACACAATTGGCATCACTGTTGCCATCCATGAAGTGATGGATGACTTCAACATATGATATGAATGTAATTGTTATGAAGTGAGTCATTGATTGGCAATCGTCATGTCATTTGGTTGACCATTAAGTCTTGTCAATGGATTTAAGCCGAAAATTGAGTCTCAAGTCATTCATCCGACAGGTATTTGATTGAAAATTAAACTGATTTTTACAGTAATCTAAATGATGTGTTTGATTGTTTGGCTAAAGAGCTCATCTGGAGGTTTATCAAGTGGTCATTCATATCAAACTACAAATACCAAGAAAGATGCCATAGATTTGCCATTGAATGAGCTCAGGAAGGATGAGTTCGTCAACAACTATATGAAAGAAAAGTCCAGCAGAGAGTCAAACTCGGATCCAATGAATATATGCAATCCGGACATCGAGTCTGAAATACTTGAATGTATTGAAGATAAATACTATGAAGATATTACTGATCCATATATGGCTGAGCAGCTAATCTTTGACGACTTACCTAAAGAGTTGAATTTAAGTTATTTGATTGAACAGAAAACTAAACTTAAGAAACAATTAATTGTTGTGTCAAAGAAAGTATCGGATCTGATATTGAAAAATGAAACAAAATATAARACAGAATTAGAAAGAGTGACCAAATTGCAGACCGGTCTCAGCGATGCCATCAAAGTGTGTACATCGGGTCGCAAACAGCTGGACTGTTCAAAGTGTAAGTTTACTTGTGTTGGACTCGGAATAGTTGCCTCATATCGACGCCGAGAAGTCTTAAAATCACTATTAAAAGCTTTGCAAACCATCAAAACATTACAAGAAACTGATGTACGATTGCGTGAACTTCTTGAAGACGATGAAGACTATACGGGAGCCATACAATTGTATCTCGAGTGCCATAAAGTGGTTTCAAGTCTTAAACATTATAACTGTATCAGTGAATTGAATACTAAACTACAGGACACACTTGAGATGACTGAAGAGCAGATTGATGTGGCGCTCAGTAAGATGTGTCTTACATTTAATAAAGATGTATACATTAAGATTATGTGCGCCTATAACTTATTGGGCAAAATTCAGACAGCTATGGATCAATTGGTGATGCATTTTGCCGGTGCCATACATAACAAAGCATTCAGTATTGTTTTAGGTTATGTCGAGCTCTTTGCCAACAATACCAATGCCAACACTAACGCTCAGAATTATCATAAGAGACAATACAATGAATTATGTAAATGTTTGACAACTGATAGCTTCTTGGCGTGTCTTACAGATCTTTGCAAAGCTCTTTGGGATATTATGTCAAACTATTATCGCATACTATTGTTTCATAGAGAGGATGTCACGGCATTCAGTGATAATATTGTCTATAATATCGGCGCTGAAAATATAGAGTTTGATAAAGAGTTTGTAATTCAAAAGTTAGAGCACGGGTTGGGTCGCATTTGGCAAGACGTACAGCAAAAAGTCAGAATTTTAATACAGAATCATAACCTGGCGTTTCATAATTTCGACGAATTCATCAAAATTCTTGGTGTCACCGAAAAAATGATTGAAATCGGCGAAGAATTTTGTGGCAATACATCCGAAGACATTCAAAATTCTATACATAAACAAACTATTAATTATTTTCAAAACTATCACAAGTCTTGTATGTCTGAACTAAAAGTATTTCTTGAAAACGAAATTTGGACTCTTTGTTCTGTACCTGACTTTAGTTTAATTGATTTAAAAGAGTTTCACTTTTTACGAACACAACTTCCATCACAAAAGCTGACACTATCACCAAACTCATCGCCCACTAAACGACAAAAGTATTATTTTTCAAAACATTTTCTTCAATCAAATGATAAATTAAAGACACCATTTGATACCGATGATGATGAAGAAATCGATAGCATCGAAGTAGCTATAAATTCATCACAACATATCAATAATGAAGATAACGATATGGAAAACAATTGCCGGAAGTTGTCTAATGGTCAGTGCAATGATAATATGACTATCGGTGAACCAATTATGACAAATACCACTTTAAATGTGTTGCGTTTGTTCGGCAAATATATACAAATGATGTCAATCTTGCGTCCGATTGCTTTCGATGCGATGATCTGTTTGTTTCAATTGTTTGATTATTATTTATATGTTGTCTATAAGTTCTTCGCCAGAGATATGCTCATTATGTCCGACAGTTCACTCGCTAATGAAATGAAAATAACGCTCAAACGTATTGCCGATGATTTGCTGATCAGTGATAAATTGGACACAAACGCCGAATCACATAACAATAATAATGTTAACATTAAATATGAGACTCCAGTGCTTTCATCACTTGTTAACATGTCTTCACCAGAAACTCTTTATGGTTTAGCTGAAAGAGTGGTAGCGGTTGAGTCTCTGTAAGTATTAAATGTTGTCATATAAACACTGTTATTATAAACGTTTATTATTTTAAAGTGTGGTTTTGTCGACACAATTTAAGTATTTACAACCATATCTCGATAGTCTCTTAACCAGTGATAAAAAACATCATTTAAATCATTATTTTAATAATGTAAGACAAATTGATAACATTTGAATTGATCTCATTTTTATTAACATTTTATACGTTATTTACCGGTTATTGATATAATAGGTTGTTTCAATTGCTAGTGATTTACGTAAACCTATTTATATGTGGGTGACTGTCAAGTGTGTCCAATACGAGCACATCGTGTCACTGATGGCCACAACTCAGTGGAATATAAGAGAAATACTTTCGATGCATAACTCATACGTCGATCTCTTATTACGTGAACTTCAGATTTTTAGTATGCGTTTGAATCAAGTATTTGATAAACAATTAAATGGCCGACAAATACCCAAAGATGTATATAACATATTATGGGATCAAATATTACGACTTTCTAACAGAACATTCGTTGAAGGTTTTTCACAGTCCAAGAAGTGCTCCAATGAAGGTCGGGCTCTCATGCAACTAGATTTTCAACAATTCTTGACAAAAGTCGACAGTTTGACAACAATTAAACCAATTCCTGAACGAGAACTCGTAGAAGAGTTTATCAAAGCTTTTTATCTGACAGAGTCAGCACTCATTGAATGGATTAAAACCAGAAAAGAGTATAATCCTAAACAAATACATGGATTAGTTAATTGTATAACAAATGATAATAAGAAAATGAGATCAAGAATTTTACAAGAAATCGATTGCAATCCTTAATATTTAATCAAAAAAAAAATTATTATTTGTTGAATCTCTTGTATTTTATATATTATTTTTAATAAAAACATTTTTATTATAAAAAATATATCTAAGATTATACTTAATTTAAATAAGTGTCAAAAGTAAATGTCAAAAACATAGCTAACATTTTAAGGTAAATTAGATGCAATGGTTTGAGTGATAGGGATCAGGGATTCAAAGTACGCGCTCACATAAAACACATGAATACTGTATTCATAAGTATATAAACAATACGTTTGTTTTGCCGCTATTTTATGTGTGAAAAACCCTTTTCATTGTTGACAACAATCACAACAAGCAATCACTGGACACACAATTATGAGTGAATCCGTGGCACAAGTAAGACATGATTTACAAAGATATGTCACTAAGTGTTTGTCATTTTAACAGGACGTCGACAACGAGACCAAATCCGACAGTCATCGGGAACGCACTGAGTCTGAAAGCAATGAATCCAATCCTGACATACACTTTGATCCCATAATTCAGTTACCATTAGTGGACTTTCAGACGCTCGAAGAAAATGAAGAAGAAGTGCTGAAACTGTAAGTCAAATAGTATTTTGTGTTTTCAATAATACAATAAGTTGTGTGACCACCAGTCGGGCCAAACTTTACCGATTTGATGACTCGGAAGAGACGCCGCAATTCAAAGAGCGCGGAACCGGAGAAATCAAGATTCTTAAACACAGAGAGATTCGCGCCGTAAGGATCTTAATGAGGAGAGACAAGACTTTGAAGTTATGCGCCAATCATTACAGTAATTATTAACACCTATTGATTGATTGTTATATTATTTATGATATAATTGTTATCAACTTATCATCAGTTATGCCACATATGGAGCTTAAGAATCACCAGAACAGCGAAAAAGTGTTTGTTTGGAACACTTTCGCCGATTTGTCCGATGAAACACCATCTACCGAAACACTGGCCATTCGTTTCGGGAATATTGAGAGTATGAAAAACCAATGATTAATATAATGATTAATAAAAAAAAAATTAATGTCTTTTGTATTCATTAGACGCACAGAAATTCAAACAAGTGTTTGAAGAATGCAAAGAATATGTTTCAGAAAAAGTTGATTACGATATCACTTCTGATTTGAGCAAAATTAGCTTAATTGACAAACAAAACGATGACAACACACATGAGGAAGAATCAGACAATGTAAGTGATAAAGTGGTCAATACTGACACAAAAGATGAAAACAAAACAAAAGAGGAGACCAAAGAAGAAGTCAAAGAAAGTAAAGAGTAAATCATGTAAACGACGAGTTTATAAGTGATTTATATATTACTTTCAAATCCCTATATTTTATGCTAATTTTTCTCAATTTTTTACATTTTGTTTGAAATAAATCTCTTTAAAGTTGACGTAATGTTAAAAGTTTATAATAATTATTATTATTACCGGTAATTCAAATCAATGTATATCTCAATGTATGCATTGATTAATATTACCCGAATATAAATTCCATTATGTATACTATTATTTAAACCCAGTATACTTTTATCTAAATAATGCTATAAGCACTGTGGTATTAAAATCTTGGTAAAAAACAACAATTTGCGATAATACTTTTTTTATTAATTTTTTAAAATTAATACATCAGAAAATTTTATATATTATATAACATTATTTATATTATCATAAATATAATAATAAGTAGATTAAAATAGCTTAAAATACATTTAAACTCTAATAACTAGAATAAAGTTAATCGTGAATAATAATAACATTTGGAATAATAGATAGTCATAATAATCAATAATTATTAATAATAAGATTAATAAATCACACAATTTGTAGATTAAAAATGAGATAATATTTTAAACAATATTAGAACCAATCAATGAGTTGTTGAGACCATCAAAAGATTTCGCGTTTGGTTTCAATACATTCTTATTGAATCCGTTATCTAATACTTTTAAAGTTAGATTTTTAGTGTCCACGGATGTCATGAGTGATGGCATCAATTGATTTTGAGTAACTTCTTGAGTCTCACTTGAATGAATCGAGTCATTAATTCTTGGACTATTCGGACGACTAGACTCTGTGATTTCGGTGAAGTCGTCCTCAACGGTCAGACAATTGGAAGATCTGGTAATTGGGACGACTAGTGCACCAGAAATAAAGATACAAATACCGGTCAAATGGAAAGCCACGTTATAATCACCAAAATAATCAAATAACCAGCCTTTAAATTAATTATAATTTACTTTAGTTTTATACATTATGTGCAATACCATCAATACTGTAATATACCCGCAATGGGTGGTCCTACGAGTGAACCAAACCCCTGAACTAATAACAAGAGTCCGTATGCATTAGTGAATGAATCCAATGATATGAGATTCACTAAAATGATTGATACTAATGCATAGTTTGCACTTATGGTAAACCCATAGAGAGCAGCCATTATAGCAGTTCCCCAGAAGTTGTGAAGCCACGGGATTATAGCCAAAGAAAATCCATTTATTACTATAAAACAACTGTAAAGTAGTGATGGATCGACCCATCGTTTGTCACCAAAATACCCCACGAAAACCTATAATAAATACAATATTAGTGGAAATATTGTTATTATATCAATATTACCGGTAATATTCAGTTAACTTACAATTCCTAATGTATTGAATATACCGATGATTGAAATGACGTAAGAGAATGAGTCCTTATCAGCCGAACCCGAAATGATGGTCTGATCGGGTAAATAGACATACGGCACGTCTATACACACATATAGTAGAAAATTTGAAAAACAAAACAAAGAATAACGAAAACTCTTGAAATTTGACAGATCTATCATATCTAGAAAGACATCTTTCAAATTGTAAAGAAATCCACTCTAAAAAAGTTTTAAATATTTTTAGATTAAAATAATGATAAATAAATTCAATAGAAAACTAGTCAATACTTTTTCATGAATAGCAACCATAGAGTTTCGGTAAATATCGGGAGCACTGGATGCGCGAAGTTTATATTTTTTAATGTTAAGCATTGCGTTTCTATAGGTAATACTTCCGCGTTGTAGACGTAAATTTCGTAACAAATTTGATGAAAGTGGAGACAATTCGCCGATTGGAACCAAATTAGATTTCATTAAATAATTACCGGTTGTATCAGTTGTTAACTCTTTTTTTATTGCATTTGTTTTGTTTGACTGCATTTTTAATACTGTATTTGATTGAACTGCGTTTGAATTTCTTGTCGTAGGACTTAACGAAAGAGCATTTGTGACCAAAGATTTATTGACATTTAAGTCATAATTCTGGTATTCTTGAGGCATAATAAAGGCAACCAATTTTGGATGTCTTTGCAAAAGTCGTCTTAAATATCCACCTTTTTTAAGACTCAATTCGCTAATCACTTCATGGGAGACAGTATTGCCGTCATTATGTCGAAAATATGTGGGAATGTGGATCAGAGAAGAACATAATCTCGAATCGGCATTCATTTTCATCTCCTCTTCATTACTTTGATCTTCACTACAAATTTTATTAAATGTTTTATTAGATAATAAAGTATTAGAATTATTATTATCACAATTATGGTCAGCTCTTTCAATATCGTTGCTATCATTTGTGTTAAAATAAAGATCAAAGTCTTTCATTAAGGCCCCAAAGATAATAATTGTGAGAAAAATCACACCAATAATTAAAAGAGTTTTTCTCCATCTAAACTCTTTTAGTAAATATATAGTGAGAGGTGGGAACAAAAATGTCCCAAAACCAGAGCCACAAACTGCCAAACCAGTGGCCAGGGATCGTCTTTTCTCGAAATAATAAGCAACGCTTACAATACTAGCGACATAACACAGAGCTAATCCCAATCCAGAAAAACTAAATGCTATAAACAGATGTTCCAGTCTATTGGCAAAATGACCGGCAATGAAACCGGTAGAAGACATAATTGAGCCAATAATTGCCATTCGGCGACACCCGAAATGATCAATTAGTGCACTGGCTATGGGACCAGTAATTAATGGAATTGATAGAAACAGTGACCCAACCCATGATGTCTTACTTTTGCTTTCACCAAAATGATCGACTAATTCCAAGAAAATAATACCAAAAGAGAAGGAAACGCCGTCTGATATAAAATTAATCATAAAACTGGCGAACACTACGACCCAACCCCAGCCTCCATCAGGCGGTATATCAACTCTTTTATTGTTTTGGCAATTATTTGACTTAAAATGATTGCTATTATTGCTGCCGATTGTTGTCGACGATGTAGATTGACCTGAGTTTTGCTTTGAGGTCTCATTTGTATTGCTATTATTGTTGTGATGATAAATATTAAGACTATTTACATTGGCATCACTTGAAGGCAATAAACTAATTGACTCCTCAAATGTGACTTCACTTGACTTGGCTTTGGAGTCCTATATATAGACATCAATCAAACAAATATCATCTCAATTACTATCAAAATGCTATATAACTACAAAAGAAATACCTTATTATTAGTTGTTGTTTGTATTGAATCACAGTTTGCGCTAATATTTGCCATAATTTACAAAAAGTAGTATTGCTTTCAATTGATTGCATTAAATAATTATATAATAAAATAGAGTTTTGTAGCGATTGTTTCAATGAATGGCTTATCGACATAAATATAACATTAATTATAATCACAATCAATGACTTCAATTGGGATCCGTTTGACTTGAATACTGACAAATCTATTGAAATGCAATACAACAACAAAAACAATCAAATTATCAAATAAATTAATATTTCTGTTATAATCACCAAAGTTTGCCATTAGTTTATTGAGCATTCAATAAGACATAGAGAGAGAGAAAATCCAGAGATCACAGAGTTTTGTGGGCATTAAACAGACAACCAATTTATATGACCATCACTTAACTGGTCAACAGTTGATCCGTGCGTTAAATCAATGATTGGTCTGAAAGTGGACCAAAACTAACAATTATTGTAATACTATATAATATTTGTAGTCATTGTTCACATGATATCTACTGTAGTTTACTGTATAATGAATGGCATTCATCACTGTTAAGGTCACCAATCATTACAATACAATCATATGTATAACTAAACCAAACTCTACTCTAATATTAATGTATTGTTTGACATATCATATCATTTTCAATAACATTAGACTCAATGTTATGTTTATTAATATCATAACATCACTCATCATAAGCACATCACTTGACACTCCCAGTGGGCGGACATTCAATACATTGCATAAACTTATATACAGTATTATAATGTATGACAACTGTTGAGAGGCGGGACTTATATATGACAATCGATATACAGTATGACTACATCTACAGTAGTCTTGAATTTATAACTAATTATAATCACTGACTAATTAATTACTAATTAATTACTAATTAATGACTTAATTAAAGCAACCAATAAACAGATGGATATTTAGTATTGAATTTTAACAACATTTTCATTGACCAAAATGTGTGAATTATAGACACAACAAATAAGTAATAATAATATACAGTATATACAGTAGTTTAAGACAATTTTGTTCAAAGTTTAAGGTTTTATATTTACATAAATAATAATTGCATATAATTTATGATATATTATACATATCATAGTTTAGTTAAATATATAACAAATTATGTAAACAATATTATTAGTAATATTTAAAAAATTGTCGTTTATTTTTACAGATTAATAATATTAAAGTTTCAATTTGTACTAACAATTTATGTCAATTTATATTTTATGTTTATTTCATGTATAAAATTTTAATTTGAAAACTTATAAACAATCAGCAATTTATTATTATTTTCATAGTTAACAGAGTAATGTAATATAAGTTAACAATAAAATTTAAAATACTATACAAAAACCAACTGAGAATAATAGAAAGCATTTTCATACCAACTCCTTATGTAATATAAATATTATATTACAATTGACTTCAGAGATAGAGTGCATTTGAGACACATTGGCTCATATTAGTGCTAAATATGTACAGTAAGTGTCAATTTGGGAATTTTTATTATGAAAAAATATATTGTTGACACTTTTTAAGTGACATTTTTATCATTATGCGATAAATAGTTTTGATACCATAATAATATTTATTTTTTAAATAAAAAATTCAACTTTGATTGGATTTTCTCAAATGCTCTGTATAACAAATGATTCAATATAACAAAATAAACTCAAAATTAGTCATTTATGGTATCAAATGATTCAGAATTATAGAACAAAAAACTTTAGTTCTGTTTCTTTGTTTGTTATTTAAGTGCAATATTTAAAATGAAAATCAGCTATTTTTTAACATATATAAAAATCACTTCATTTTCCTCCTTAAACTATTTAAATTAATAAATATAAAAAATAAAAATTCGTTTGCATTTTCTCAAAGTTCTAAAAAGAGATAAAAATTTAAATGCATATTCACTATAATTAATTTTTGATGCTTTACACAAATCTAAACCTAAAAATAAAATAAAATATTTTTTTTATTTTAGACGAGATGTTTGTGACAAAATATCAAAATTTTAATACTGATCCCATAACTTAAATTATTTCTGATGCTTTATCAAAATCTGAAATCAAAATTTAAAAATTTTGTGGGACAGACAGACAGACAGACAGACATATAGAATGCAGATATGTAGTCCTTTCAGGACTTAGTGAACAATATTTAATAATTAATTAAATGTATAAAGTGTTTAAAAAAATTAAAATTGTATATTAATGTAAAAGTAAAGTACTCTTTCTTAACATACATTATTTGTCTGATATATAAAAATAACAATATTTACTAATTTGTGGTTAATATAAATAATTATAAAAAAATATTTTATATAAAAGTTAATAGAAAATAAAAATAAGTGTTTAATGATTGAAATGCATTCAAGTGTTTAACTATTATGTAATTATTGAGAGATTTTCAGTCACATAGATGTCAGTAATGAATACAATGATAGCAATGAACACAATAGCAGTGATTACTACTATTGGCTGACATTTAATATTAATATTAATATCAGTAATCACTTAATGTTTATATCATTTGATTGATTGACACAATTGTTGCGACAGTGAAGACAAAGATTGTGTCAAACAATCATTGATTGATCCGTTAAGTCATTCAATGTTTGACCACATTTGGCATCTTTTTTGATTGTCTTAAGTCATAGACAGTCAGTGACCTAAATGTGAAAATGATGTCCGAAATGTCGAGAAGACCTGAAAACCCGATTTCTTCGCCCAAATCGAGTCCTCGCGGCAATAGATCACCAGTTGTTCCGCGACAGGACAGTACCGGCACATTGAAGACAACGATATCACTTGGAAAGACACCAGTGATTGTCCATTCGGGACCTTTTTATTTGATGAAAGAACCTCCAGGTTTGTGACCATAATTTGATTGCAATTAATTTTGTGGTAATGTATGTCATATTATATGATAGCTGAGAGCGAATTAACGGGTTCTGCAAATCTACTTCTGAAGAATAGTTTAGAGCATTCATATAACAAATTCTCGGGACGTAAGGTGAAGGACCAGTTGAGTGCATTCTTACCGAACCTTCCGGGAAATATAGACACTCCGGCACATATAGATAATAGGTTTGTCCACTTAGTCATACATCAAGATATATAAAGATTACATATTAATAATATTGAATTGATTTATATGATAGTTCTCTTCGGGCACTCATTGATAAGCCTCCAATTGGTGGCAAAGAATTGATACCATTAACAGCAAATCAATTGTTAGGTTTCCGACTACACGCCGGACCGGTGCGTACTTTCAACTGCTTATATATAAAGTCTGTGGTTATATTAATTGTTGTGATTATCCGATAGCTTCCGGAACAATACCGACTGATGAATCAGAGCGTTCAGCGCAAGAAACACAAACATAAGAAAAACAAACAGAGAAGCGGAGAGACACCCGCTTATGACTCTCATTCAGAGATCTCAGATGTGGTCCAAACTCATGAAAAGAAACACAAAAAAGAGAAACGAAGAGAAGAAAAGGAAGAAAGGAAAAAGAAGAAAAAAGATAAGAAAAAGAAGAAACAAAAGCACAGCCCTGAGGGCTCATCCGGTCTGATCGGTGATACCACTCCTCAGCATTCAAGTTGTGCACTCAATGGAATGCAAAGAAACATTTAAAAATCATTATTATATTTATAAGACATTTGTTTATTATTATATTTGATTATCTTTTAATATATTGTGTTTAAATGCATACAACTCGAAGTCAAGTTCTTGTTTAAGAATTCCCGACAAAATAAATTCAACGTTCATAACGTCTGAAAATAAAAATAAAATAAATAAATAATTATAAAAATGCTTTAAACAAATACATACCAACTTCTCGGACATGAAATATATCGCATAAGTGGAGATCATTTTCACAAGAAATAACTAAAAATTTTAGACCATTTTCTTGCATTCTTTGTAATTGCCTTTTAGTTGGCCTCTTCGTTATGACCGCTTGTCCGCCGTTTGACTCAATGATCTCTTTGAGCACTTTGGGTGAAGGAATACAACCATTGGTGATATAGAAGACATGACTATTAAAAATTTGATCACTTCTTATACTAAGAGAGTGCTCTAAACTGAAGCCAAATTGTTTTTCTGCTGTTAGATCAGACAATTTGTAATCATTTTCATCGACAAACTTGTGCTGCTTTCCAGACTCTCGCACCCAATCGCACGTGACTATGAATTTACACGAACCAAAGGCACATAAAAATTTAACGGTTCGTACGATCCGATCAGTCACTAAATGCGTACAATCATTGCTATTATTAGTGACACGTCCTCCAAGACTAATAACAATTGATCGCAACTCTTTACGACTTAAATCTTTTATTGATGTAAACATAACTTTGATATTTTTGTTGGTTTCTGGATTTATTTGAAGTGTTGGTAATGGTATTGCAGGCAATAAATTATTAAAAATATTTTCTTCTTTGATGGAAATGGGAGGCATCTGAACAATGGGAGTCATCGGAGCAATTGGAGTCAATGGTGTTAACGGAGTATTGTTTATTTCGTTTTCAACTTTCGGCTTCTTATTCAATGGTTCCTCTCTATTATCTTCAAACGACCTCTTCTTTTCATCATCTTCTTTCTTATCTATATTATTATTATTATTATTATTTTCGGTAATAATTTTATCATCATTTATATTATTATTATCAATTTTATTATCATCCATATTATTGCAGGAATTATTATTAATATTACTATTATTAGCAGTACTACTATTTATATTATTATCATCAATTGTGTTCTCATTATTATTATTATTATTATTATTATTATTAGTAGTAGTAGTAGTAGTAGTAGTAGCGTTGTTATTGGTATCAGATTCGCCATTTGTGTCTTTTTTATCCTGTTTTTGTTCATTAATCTCAGCGATTCCACTCTTGAGAACATCTTCAGACACTCGAACAGGTTGTCTCCATGGGTTCATCATTTGCTGAACAGTTGAGTATTCAATTCTTAACGGGGTTTTTGAATCAAAATTTTGATATTTCTTGTGAATACTTGACAGTTGTAACGGTTCCAATTGGCCGAACAGCACGTCATGCAACCAGAGTGTGTTGACGATAGCGAGTCTCCATTCAACTGCTTTTTTATATTTGTTGCCCTCAAGACTGAAATGTTTTAATCATTATATACTGTATTTATATTAAATTATTTTTAAATAATAATCATTAAGTAACTAAATACCGTTTGCATATAATTACAGAATTTTTTTGAGTCAAATATGAGGTATATTTGGCTCCTGTTTTCAAAATCATTTCCTTTATTCTTAATCTTTCTTCGCCTTCAAAATTAGACATTGTTATGATCTGATTACAAATACAATTAAAACGCACATTAATATATCATTAATACCGTTATAAACAAACTGTTAAACCAATTACTATTATATTACATGATTCTTGCAGGGCTTGATGTCTCCAAAAGAATGGGGCAAATGATAAAATTTAATCGGAGGAAACATCTTCTTAGTTGCCATCACTTCATTGATCCAATACACTGTTACACATCGTTTACCATCTTCTATACACTAATACAATCATCAAATTAGCAATATTTTCAAAAATAATTTAATGACAAACCTTTTGAATGAATGGACTGTTAGTGTTGTCACATAAAACATGTGTACATTTTAAAGTATATGTGGTCTCAACTTCGGCACCCATTTTAATTAATTTACTAATCCATAAATCAATTAATTTCTTTTCAACCAAATTTTCAAATCCGTATAAATGGAAAACACATCCTAAAAGGCACCGTTGGTTAGGAATTTGGACGTTTGGTTCGTAAGCATAAAATCTTATTTGCATCAATTGATTGGCCTGAGAATCATCAGATTTTATATTTGATCCCATGGCCTATGATAATCCAAACAACTAATAATTATCGGCTTTATTTAAACTAATACTAAGTGTTAAGTTTTAAACAATCATAAAAAATCAATTAATAAGCAATTAAGTAATGGACCAATCAATGAATCAACTCATGCGATGTGATGCCAAACATGCAAACTTGATAAACATAACATAATTCAATTGAAGACATGTCATCCTTACCACACCAGGAGATCCAATAAAACCAAAACCTGTTTTATTTGTCAAAGAAGTAGAAGAGGAAAGAGATAGAGAACCCGAAATGGAAACACTAGTAGGGGAGCCATTATTAGATGTGGTCGTTCCGTCACCTCTGGTAGTGATAGGATTGGTAATCCCACTTTGAAGTCGGTTATTAAGCATATTAGCTAAAGCTGTCTTAGTTTTAGGATTTACTATAGGAGAAGTGACAGTAGTCGGTGTAGTGTTGGAAGTGCTTACTGGGTTTACTTGTGCTGACAAAGAGATTGTATTGGTATTTGGTATGGTTTGGCTGTTCGAGAGAACTATATTAGGGCTAATGGTTTGCGGTGTTTGCGCATTGCGAACGGTTGAGGTCGAAGTCGCTGCAGTCGCACCACTATCTGTATTGGCTGAAGAAGAAACACTTACGACAGACACAATCGGCCTAACCTTATCGGGTGTTACACCAGCAGACAATGGAAATCTTTGTTGTATTTGATGTTGTTGGAGTTGTCGTCTTTGAATTTCTTGTTGTTGCCATTGTATTATCTGTTGCTGAGTTGGTTGTGAAGGTTGTGGTGATTGAGTTACAAGAATGTGTTGCGGTCTCATAGATACTAAGTGTTGCTGAGGTTGTGGTTGTTGTTGTGGATGTTGTTGCTGAATGACTTGTTGATCCTGAGATAACCATTGAGGACCTCTAATAAATTGCATCTGACCCGGAGGTGTCTGTGCTCTAATAAATTGTTGTTGATGTTGGGTTTGTGTCTGTGGATCAAATTGTTGCTGCTGTTGTTGTGGTTGAGGCGGTCCTTGTATTGCATATTGTTGACCTTTCATGTAGACTCTTGGTTGTCCAGTTTGTATTGCACTCGATATGATTTGTTGTTGAGCTAATGGTCCTCGTATTGGTTGACCTCTTATTTGGTTTTGTTGAATAAATTGTTGAGGTATTCGCGGAGCGGTCATTCTCTGTTGAATTTGTGGTACAATTTGTGTCTGATTTGGTTGAGACTGATTTGACTAAAACAATATTCATTTGTTAATATTAGTATCGATAAACAATTACCGGTAATTTATCAAACCTGTAATACTTGTTGTTGTGGTTGTTGTTGTATCTGAAGCTGTCTTTGAATAGCCTGTTGGTTCTGCTGTTGTATGATAATATGTTGTTGTGGTGTTCTAACATAAGGAGCTGACTGAAGACTAATTGGTTGTCTTTGTTGAAGTTGTATGAGATGCTGCTGTCCCTGTTGTAGTCTAACTGATTGTACATTTGGTCCTCTTTGTTGTATTAATATATTAGATGGTTGTCTCTGTTGTGATTGTTGAGACATTCCTATAAAATGTTGGTGTCTTGTTTGCTGAACTGCAAGATAAACCTGTCGGGGCTGTTGTCCAGCCATAAGTGTTGTATTAATTGGTCTCAGTTTTGTCAAATCAGTTGAATTTTGAGAAATGACTTGAATAGGTTGAGTTGTATATGTATTTTGTGCACCGGTTTGAGAGGTTTGTACTATCATTTGTTGATTTGTATTCCACTGTTGGTTAGGATCTAATGGTTGATTTGGATCTGATTGTTGTAGTTGTTGCTGTTGTTGTTGCTGAGAATGTTGTGATAGAGCATATGGATGTCTCTGAATCATTTGAACCACTTGTTGTTGAGGTGCAACTCCCTGTCCTAATTGTCTAATTTGATTTTGTTTCATTTGCATGAGCCTCACCTGATGCTGTGGTGGTAAAAATACTCGAACTCTTCCGCCCTGAACTGATGTGGGACTTGCTTGAAGTGGCGGTGCGATTGAAAATGTTGTTATCATTGCTGTTGTTGGCAATGAAACAGTTCTTAATGCAAGTTGTGGAGTACTTGATGTCAATGGTATGGAAGTGACAGTAGTGGTTGTTGTCGATAAAGAATGCGTGGAAGTATCAGTCAGTTCTAATTTGGCCGAAATGAATGACTGATTGTTAAATATGAGAAGTCGTGGATGATATAAATCTTCATCACAGAGCGCTTTGTTCTTAACTGAATCAATGACCCAATCGGGTGTAACTATTTTAATCTCATCTTTGGTTTCGACCGCTTTATTATACTTTAATCCTTCGGGTTTTGTTGATATAAGATGAGTGCAGTTTGGCTCTAATTGTAGTCGAAATGAGCCGCCATAGTATGTAATCATTGCCCATAGTGTTTGAGCATCAATTCCCGATATATTAGATGGACAGGCAATGATGTTTGAGAAGAGTTGATTCTTGAATGGCGAAAAACCGGCGGTTCTGTCATTCATTATATCATTATTATTGGTTAACATTTAAAAATGTCTTTCAATAACTTACGGTAAAAGTAAGGAAGCCTTCGCTGATAACCAAACCCATCGACTCTTTAGATAAAAATAAAGACAATAAGCAAAAGAAAAATGATTTAATCAATTATCATAACTTACGGTTACAACTGTTATTTCATAGATCTCGACAGCTTCTGACACAAAATGGTGGTCAGCATTATCACCGATCAAATGAGTTACATTGTCGGACAAGTAATTGAAAAACTTGGCGCCGCCCGACAGTAATAACTTCTTCACCTAAATAATCAAATCAAAGATAAAATACATGCATTTAGTGATTGGATTCATCATCAGGTGATTAATTGGTCTTACATTTTCAAATTGATTAACATCTTCACAGAGCGAGAACTGTACTTCTCTGAAGATGTTATGTTTGGAAACCTCTTCCTCTAAAGAAGTCATCGCTCATCACATGGATGTCATGTCATGTCATCACATGAGTGGTCACGCCTTAAATCAATGCATTCATTGATTTGTTTTGATGACAACAAACATGTTTTGTATTGTAAACTATTTATCAATTTATTTGCTTTTAATATTAAAATACAGGTATTATATGAAATGTAATCACAGTTTCAAACCATTTGATAATATTATTGTTTTCCGATTGCAATACAATTGTCATTCAAATCATTTGAAAGTTTATCCGAAATCAACAAAACTTAAAATTTATAGTAAAGTGAAGTTAATATCAAATGCCAAACATTTAAAGCACATTATAATCAATGATTCAATTATTCAGTGATTCTGTATTCATATGACATGTATTTCAATGGACTATACATACAGTGTGTAGACAGTAGTCGAGCCAAACATAGGGCTCACAAACGATGCTTTGAAACAAAGTAACATTTAAGTAGACAATGCATTACAATTAGTACACTATAGATGTCAGTCCTAACTTACCGGTGCCCTACCAGTTAGGACCTACCAGTGCCCGCACATACAGATCCTCAGTTTTTTAAAATAAATTTATTTTTATTACCAGTACTTACCTGTTGTTAACCGTGTTATCAAATTGTCAAGTCGTTCATCAAATAACTAACAATACTATAATATTATAGTTGGCAATCGTTATGCAATAATATCTATTAATTGGCGTATAGTTTCACATGTAATCTGATTTAACAATACTTTCTATTAAAACACATGAGAACTATAAAGAAAAAAGTTTTTCGTTAAAAAATGTAAATTCAAATCACAAAAAACGCCACTATTTTAATATTTGAGACAATTTTTTATGAGAAATATTATCCAATAGTTTATTCAAATAAATTCTTTTAACGACATTCTCGACATTCTTCAGGAAATAATTGAATTACTTTTTTCTTTTAGTTTTTAAGGTGTTATATAATTTCAGTTGAATAATAGCTCAACATTTCTTTTATATAATATTTTTTATATATGCATTAAACGTATAACTTCTCAAATTTAATTATTAGTTTATATGTAGAAAATAGTAAATTTATTTAAATTTTTTATTTTTCTAAAATATTGTTTGTTGTATTTTTTAACTAATGCCTAAGTTCTGCTACAAATTATATAGCCTACGATATATATACTGTTTATATATATAGAAATTATTGATAAATAATATATATAATAATTATAAATAAACTTGAATTTTACATTAAAACTGATGACATATGTTGAATTTTAAATTAAAATTATATGGGTTTATTTAAAAATTTAACAAATAAATTTTAATTTATATTATAATTAATTTGAAATGCTTAATATAAAACTTTAATTTATATATATACAGCACAATGTATTTTTAAAAAGAGAAAAATAAGCCATAAAATTATAAATACTTAGTACAAACATATAAAAATATGTTTGATTAAGTCATCTCATAGATTATTGAATATCTAATGAATTATTGATTGAATAAAACTGGTTTTGCATTTTATTATTGATATAAACATTATACGTTATGAAAAAGTAATTTATAAAATCAATGAATTGTTTCAGCCATATAATCAATCAACAAAATTATTTTAATAAATAGCTCAACTCAATCAATATTACTTATGATTTCACATTAATTATGATTAATTAATACTATAACATATACGGTATATATATCTAACTTTTATTCTAATTAAAATAATTTAGCACTTTTAATACATATGTTTACAGTTTATGAATTTTCTGTAAGCAATTAAATCTAATAAATAACAACAAATAAAATTTATTCTAAATTATTTTTTAATAATTATGTTTAATTTTATTTAATAAATGTTAAATGAATTTATTAATTAATCTATTTATTGTAAGTTTTTATTCATCTTAAAAGTTTCTCACACATTAACATTGAATCTCTATTAAATTTTAAATTTTAAATAAATTAATTTTTTATATATAAGTTGCAAGCGATTTAATGCAAAACTTTTTATTTAAATAAAAATATTTATTAACAAAATGCAGTATATAAATTAAAATATACTGTAAAAACTTTATTTTGAATAATTCAAATTGAACAGGATAAATATCTTACGTAATTTACAAATTTTTCACAAATTAGTATGAGATAAAAAAATTTAAATAATTATTTGTAATGAATTGATTAAAATTTATATAATTTAAGTTGATTTAATAAAATTTTTCATTTTTATATTTTAACATTTTAAAATTTTGTTTATTATATATAAATTTAAATAATTTACAAAAAAAAATATTTTGTTTTAATTTTCTAAAAATATATTTATATTATTCTTGATAATTGAATTGATATTCAATATTAAATGGAAAATATAAAAAATGAATAATATATGTATGACATAACAAATTTTTATATCATCAAACAATTTTATCATTTTTGCAATTATTTATAAAATAAATACAAATGCAAACTAAATACTACTGCATCAATAGCTATAAAATTTAGTAATTTTTTTCAGGTGTGACTTCAAATGTGTGGGTTATTCAAGTTTTACTCGTTTCTAAAGCAATGGTTTGTCTGTTAAAATATTTTTATATAACAAAATCAATTTTAATATAGTGTATTTGAAACTTTATTGTACTCCAAACATAAAAAGTCTAATAATATAATAATAGCTGATTTTTGTATAAAAATAATGTTTAATAAATGTTTTTCAAGATTCTGTAAAATATAAAGAGTGGTTTAAAAAATGTATTGATTGTTAGATATTTGTCATTTTGTTGTCTGTATATGTAAATCATATATTTATTTTCAATAATTGTTAAACAAAACTTAATGGCATCAAGTGTTGGCATGAATTTATCTATAGTCGACTGACTGTTTTTGAGACAATATTGTGCAATATTATACCGTAGTTATATGTGTTGAACTGTATGCTCACATTTTTTTTGTAAGTAAAACCAGTTTTTTGCTTTGCTTTTGTATAGCTATAGGTATTGGAGATATATAGCTATATAGCTTCGCGTCATTGTCTGCTGAAAACCGAGAGATTGGGCGTTGTTTTATGTTTTAATGTAATTTAAAAAATAAAAATTAACCAGAATATCAATATATAGTTATAATATATACATGTATATATAAAGATGAGAGAGAGAGAGAGAGAGAGAGAGAGAAGAGCAAAGGGTACAACAAACTATTTATGAGATAAGACTAATATAGCACTCATTATATGCCTTATATAATAAATATTTTATATATCATTTATTCAGTGCAGTTTGCATCCAATTTCTGTATAACAATACATTTCAATAAAGCTATTATTTTTTCTACAAACAATTTCATTGATTGAAACATTATAGAGATGTCAACAATAAAAATATAAATAGACTATTCAAGTAATTTTAGACTTAAGTATTGACTTAAAGTTTAAAGCTCAGGACTGTTATGTTAATGTTAGCGTAATGTTATGAGACTATACGGTATGTGAGTGATAGTGTTGTTAGCGATTAGAGAGAAAGTTTAAGAAAGAGAGAGAGAGAGAGAGAGAGAGAGAGAGAGAGAGAGAGAGAGAGAGAGAGAGAGAGAATAAAGTTAAAATAAAATATTTGTTTGTTTGCTAAAAGTGCTAAACCTGTCATTTGGGCTCATTTGAGGATATGTTGATTAGTAAGTGTTGTGTTTAATCATTGAATTGACCGCAAAGTCAGTGGTTGTAGTGATGATTGCAGTGATGGTTGTACTGTATGTATAGATAGCTTGTGGCGATAAGTTGTCAGTTGAATTATTAGCGTCAATATTTAGATCACGTTTTGTAATCATTGTTTGTTTGAGACCAATCTTTATTGAGTTTGACTCTTGTTAGCAGATGCACTGCCATACACTTAGCTAACCATACCATACCTCCCAATGCACTCTCACTCGACTCAATCACAACTATTCTTTAGTCTTCTCCCATTATTCTCACAATTTTCTCAATGTTTGTGCCATAAACTAAACTTAACTAAGTTTAGTCTCTAATCAGACACTTAATGCCGTAGTGGCTCAGCATTAGGTACGCCAATAGATATAAGCAATGAACACACAGATACAGCACAATATAATAGAAAACTATAGGCAAGGTATCTAAATAATAGCTACATTTGATGCATAGGTGGTCCTCCAATATTCACCCAATACCATAGTTTGAGAATAGTTTGGTCGTTCACTAATTTACTGCCAACTTTGGTACCCCTTTTTTGTTTCTTTTGACGTCAAAATTTTGCGGTCCGTTTATGCGTCAATTGAGTTGTCATTTGCCAATATTTTACTGCTTTAAAACTATTCTCTCTCTCTCTCTCTCTCTCTCTCTCTCTCTCTCTCTCTCTCTCTCTCTCTCTCTCTCTCTTCTAAGTACACCAATAGTGGTCTCTGTTGTGTTCATTCTTTTCTTGATTACATTTTCTCAGCTAAAACTACTCCGAGGCATAACCATCAAAAATTCAAGGTAGAAGTGCCGCACCTGCAACTGCTCTCTCTCTCTCTCTCTCTCTCTCTCTCTCTATATATATATATATATATATATATATATATATATATATATATATATATATATATATATATATATATTTCTCATCCTAGTCTAGTTATAAACCAGAAGTTGAAGAGAGAGAGAGAGAGAGAGAGAGAGAGAGAGAGAGAGAGAGAGAGAGAGAGAGAGAGAGCTTTCATGGGCCGCTCGATTATCGGGCAGAGTTATTGACGTTTTGCTCTTTGTGTGCTTTTGCTATCTTTATATATCACTGTATACTTTATATTATATATATGCATCCCTTTTGGTGTATGTTTTTATGGGAGGGGATATGAGCACTGGTTTGTGTGGTCTAAGGACTTGGAATAAACTAAATGTTGAGTATATATATATATATATATATATATATATAAAGTTTAACTTCTTTGGCAATTACTTTTAAGGCAGTTAAGAGTTTTGCAACAAACCGCACACATACTGGCATAACAAGCACTGGCAATAACAGACACGGCATTGCTATAGTCATAACAACATTGAATTGACTTTCAATGCAAAGCATCTTCAAGTTAGCATCTGATGTGATAATGACAGTGCACTTCACCGCCACAACTATTATCTTTAAACATGCCTTCCATACCATTCAACACAACCATCACATCCTTGTTTTCCATAATATTGAACACTTGTATTATATATATATATATATTTAATATAAGCCGATTGAATAAAGTAGTGCCCAATTTAACGCATAACAAACACAAACACCGACATCAATATACTAACTATTAGTTTATAACATCTTGTTTTGCATTGATTTACAACAAACCAATCATTCAAATTCATTA